TGGGAAAATTATTAAAAAAATGTAATTTTCATTTAGAGTTTTTTTTTTTTGCACATACGTCCTCTATTTTAATTGTAAAGTTTCATCATAGCTCCTTAAGGTCTTATTACGTTTCTTTTTATCATTTTAGATTTCTCTTTTATACATTGATTTAATATTTATTCGTCGACTATCGTGTCTAGTTTGGTAGTTTGATTTACGCTGCCTTATGTTGTTATTATTACGCTATCTACAGAGAAGTTTAAATAGATAGAAATTAGAATATGAAACTAATCAGACCAAAACATGATGGCTTTCCTATGATATGAGATAATTTTGTTATTACTGTACGGAGAAATCACCATAACCAATATATATGATGCATGAGACTTTAAATCACTATTCATGCCAAGGCATCCCAATGAATTAAGTCACTAATACTACTGAATTCCTAGAGCATAATATCAAATAAATTAAGTCTAGCTAGTAGAGTAACATAAGGCATCCAAATGAATTGTACCAAAAAATTGCTAATAGGAAATTCTTCTACGCCAAATGCCAAAGGAAATTATGTCAAACTATCTCTTCCCACATAAAAATAATCCTACTGAAGTACTAAGAAAAACAAATTTGCCACTATTCAAGACCATGTATGTGTGGATTTGTTATGGCATCCTGCAAAATGAATTAAGATAGAATTATATTAGTTTAGAGATTTTAATAGAATCAAACTAAATAGATATATAATCCAATTGATTTCATACCTTTAACAATTGTGTGAATGATATATTGCGTACTGAAGATGTAGAATCAAACTTATCTCCAGCTGAACTAATAATTGAACTTTGGTGTTGATGTTCGTTTGTCATCTAAAATTAACCAATTGTTAAGATATGATTCATAGGATAGTTTCACTTATATCTCATGATAAAAAAAATACTATCATGAAATAGACAAAGTAAAACCTGATTATTTTGCATTCGTAGTTCACTGTTACTTTCTACTTGCTGAGAAGAACTACCTTTCACCTTCTTACCCTGCATAGAATGATATCTAATAAATAATATATAAGGAAATACTATAATAGTTTCATATTATAGAAACAAAAAGGGGAAAAAGAACCTGTGGTTTTGATTGAACTTTGTGACTTTTTCGTCGCTCTAAAGCACCTTTAATTCTTCCTTTTGGTCGTCCAACAGTAGCCTTTGACTTCACTCCAGCTACAGTTGTATGCTCTTCTTCATGATTAGAGCATAATATCTCATTAGAAGCTCCACCATTTGAATTTTTTTTCATCTCCTGCAAATTCTTCAGCAAACTAGATAGAACTTCGCTTGCATGCTCATACATTTCGTTGCTCTCAGCTGCTAATGTAGATATCTCTCAAAAATTATAATGCAAATTGAAGTAACGCTTCCCAATGAGTTCCTCAGAACTTCCCTGCACCCGAACTGAACTTCGCAGATCTCCATCTTTTGCATCTTTTGTCCATCTCTTTGATATATATTGTTTTGGGATGTGCTTTATATTTTTCTTGTCAATAACCTTCAAAGCATGAGCACATAAAATCCCTACAAACTCAAACTTCATGCAACTACATTCAACTGCTTGAGATGAAGACTCAAACCTGACATGATGCCCTGCACCTCTACCAGCATATCTCACTTGATATTCTGTATGATCTTCGTTTTTTCCAATCTTATCAATCGTACAATACCAAGCTTTGAGATATTCTTCTTCGAACAACTTAAAGACTTTATGAGTGTACACTTCTGATGCATGCCTTAACATCTCAACATCAGCTTTTAACACTGGTCGGGTGTCCCTCATTTTGAACTCTGCAAGTAGTTCTTGGTACCTTCTATCTTCAACCAACTTATTATAATGGTAAAAAAAGTATACCATATTGTGTTTTGGCTTCAGGTACTTCTTCAACACGCTATTCATTGATTCACTGCGTTGTGTACTCTTAATATCAGCAGTAAACATATGACGTCCATAAACCATAGCCCACTTTTCTTTTACTGAAAATATCCCATGCAACCATTCATTTTTCCCAGATCATACTTGTTAAGCATAGCATCCCAAGCTTTAAGCCATTCATCTTCATCTTCATAATCATATATACATGAACTAAAATCACTAGAGAATTGGTCGGATCCGTGAAATACATGGCTCAAGTGTTTAGCAGCATTTTGATAAATAAGCCAAACACATAAACGATGATGAGTTTCAGTAAATACCTCTTCAATTGCTTTGGCCATTGCAGCTGATTGATCTGTCAATATGGTCTTAGGTTGCTTTCCATCCATTGCCCCCAAAAACGCTTCAAACAACCACTTGAAGGATGTGATTGTTTCATCATAAAGTAAAGCTGCCCCAAAAATCACTGTCTGCTTCAAATGATTGACTCCAACAAATGGAGCAAAAGGTCGACCATATTCGTTAGTTCTATAAGTGGTATCAAAACATAGAACATCTCCAAAGTACTTGTAGTCAATGATTGACCTGCCATCAACCCAGAACATATTCATGATAAAATCATCATCATCAAGCTGCACTGCATAAAAAAATGATGGATCCTCTAATTGTGCTTTATGAAAATAATCCATAATTGCCGGACCATCTCCCTTAATCATTGTAACCCTTCTTTGTGTAGCAATATAATTTCTATAGTCGAAATCTAGAAACCCGCTGTGTTCACGACCTCCATTCTGTATTGCTAGTAAATCAATAGTTGCCTTGATTGGTAACCCAGCTCTCTCAGCATCATCTGCAATAGCTTTTTGAGCATTACTTATCTTTCTGTTGGATCTCAACATGTGCTTCATCAGAGTGGGGGCGAGTTCATGGTTATGATCTACTTCAAAAGAAACAACCTCTAGCAAGCCATCATTTTTTAGTTGACATGTCATCTGTGCTAAACATCCAATTCTTGAAATTGGTCTCTCAAAAGCCACATGCTCGCGCCTTTTATCAAAACCTTTTTTGCCTTCTTTAGAACAACAAAATATTCTTCTCTTCACTTGGCCTGCTTTATTTCGCTTTATATAGTCCTTCCTTACACTGAAACCAACACTATGGGCATCTGCTTTATAAAATTCATAAGCATTATCATCCCCATCGAACTTCATACCTATACATGGCACGTCAACTTTTCCAACACTTGTTTGAGAACTCATATGATTTGTACCTGGAGAAAAGAATTTAAAAGAGCAAAGGAGATTTGATTATTGATTAATAGTGATATACATAGACACCCAAAATTGGCAGAGAGAAAAGTGAAAGTGTATGAGAAAATAATTTCTATAAATTTAACAAAGCCATATATGTGTTCCTCTTTGCAGAGCATTCAAGTTTCATAAAATAGACATGTATAACACAAACCTGTAAGATAGCAAATTGAATTGTCAGTAACCTAATAAACTAACAGCCTGTTTCGTAGCATATATACAAAGAAAGGAAAAGTTTCATGCTTCATATATATTGGTTGTGGTGATCTCTCTGTACAGCAATACAAAAGCAGCTCATATCAAAAGAAAGCAATCATGTTTTGGTTTGATTAGTTTTGCTAAAATCCTAAAATCCAAAGAATACAGTGGTGGGAACCGATATTACCTTTACAACTTAATTGCAAGGTTGCCGGAGCACGAAGAAGCTAGCGTCGACGATGAGGCAGTCGGAGTAGTAGAAGAGACCCTTTTCCTAGTTGCAGATGTTGGCGATTGATTGAGGATCGTATGCGTAAAAAACCCTAAAGGAAAAATACATTTTTTTAATAATTTTCCCACTTTAATTGATAACAATTGATAACAATAATATAAATAAAATAAAAAATAAAGCCAAGTGAATACCTTGACGTCGGCCATCAGCTCCGTCCAGGTCCCGTCAAAGAAAACACGTCCAAATCCTCCTAATAATTAATTAACAGTTGAACCAATCACATGGAGCCACGTGGCTGGGTGGCAGCGGAGAGCTACAACCCAGCCAGCAGCCAAATTTTGCCCTAAAGAAATAGGGTCATGTGTTGTCTTGGATGATCAAAGAACGTACAAGTGTTTTTTTTTTATGGGTTAAATATGATCATGGAACTTTTGGTGTTTTAAGTTGACAACTTAATAATGGGTTGCATGTCTCGGTCACCTTCTCGTGATCTAGTCTTCGTGCTTTGGGAATTACTAATTACAATTACTTTATGTTGAATGTCCCTGGTGCTTTGATGGGTGACCACGTACTTCGTTCAATCTTGGTAGTAATCCAGGAGGAATGTATAACACACGTCGTCTAGAACCAGATTGTGCATTTCAACCTTGACGAGCTTCAATCCTCCCAATCCCGACCATCCCATACTCTGCTTGGACGAATCTTTGCTGATAAGAAACCATCGATGACTGTGATCCGTGAAGCTGTCAACGTAGTGTGGCAAGGTTAAGGATGAATCTGTGTTGCAGAGGGACGACGGGGATTACCGGAGTTTGCTCTTCCCTGTGAAGCCTTCAAAATTTGGGTGTTGAAGAGGAATCCTTGGATTATCAAGGATAAGATCCTCCACCTTCGAAGTTGGACTCTTATGGTTATGCTTCACACGTATGAAGAAATAGCTTTAATTTCGTTCGGTGTTCAACAATGGATTGTGAATGAAGACTAATGTACTCCTCAGTTTGAACCGGCTATGGTGCGCTCGGCCATTGGAAAAGTTCTAGAAGAATGTGTTTATGCCTGCCCTGAAGAAAACCGAAGCTTCATCATGGTGAAATCAATCATTGATTTCACCAAGCCACTTCGGTCTCAAATCATGGCCCTAAGTGAGGAAACCAGAGGCTTCTGACTCAGCTTGAAGTATGAGTTCCTCCACAGTTTTTGTTACAAATGCGGCCGTGTAGGCCACTGCTTCCAGGCTTATGCTTTTGACCAACCAAAAGGTAAAGAGAGATTCAGGCCCCACATGTCTACCAAAGCACTTGGGTAGAAAATTAACGGAGAATAAAATGATAACCGGGTGATCCATGGTGTCTCCAAGTCAGTATGGGTCAATTTGGAGCATGCTAGAAAGAGGATTGCTGGGCAAAGCAATAGCAACAAAAGCAGAGGTAGTGGGACCACAAACAGCTCCTCTAGGACAACTTGTTACTTCGACCACGAGATTGGTGCAAATCGGGGACTCCATAAATCCGTCAAAACACAGGGATGACAACAATCTCACAAGAAGAAGCCCTCATGGCTTCACGGTGTCTAATTCTTTGAAGCTCCTAACTAGTCAAGGCAAGGGTTCGAAGTTGGGTAGAAAACTCCCTATGATGGAGGAGCAACAAAAGGAAGGCAGAAATGGCCGAGGACAGGACCGCAACCTGGAGAATAGGGAGAGTGCTGCCCCTACTAGAGGTTGCCCCATAGGAAGGAAGAGAAGGACTAGTGGGTCAACATGCCTTGGGAATCCAAGGGACAAGATCAAAGCTATGATACTCTCAAACCGCAGGGAAAAGGAAAGGGCGGCAGAGCATCAGGCAACTCTGGTCTGCCCTTGAATCCATCTAGTCGGCGGCATATAAATCAAAGACTGGAGCAGCTTGGGGTTGGAAGGAATGATGGAAGTGGGAAAAGTCTAAGTTGATGGGTCGTGAGAAACTAGGCGGAAGATTTATTGCAAAGTCAACACTAGACCAGAATGATGTGGGCCGTGATCCTGAGATAGAGCAACCAAGAGTGCTTTTTGATGAAGCTAATGATGACCTTTTATCATCTCCCTCGCCTGAAACCTTTGCTACAAAATGGTGCTGGTAGAACAGTTGGTGCAAAAGGAGGATGACTCTAAGAAGACAATTTCTGAAGGGTATATTTCAAGCCCTGATATGGAGACCAGTGAGAATAACTTTGAGTAGAAACGTCGGTCTGTGCCTTCTATGCAAACTGCTCCTCCCATAGGAGATGGATCATGTTAGGCGTGTTGTTGAAGCCTTTGCAAATGACGTGATTGGGAGAGGGCTAATGGAGAAAAGCTCGCCAAGGGTGAAGGCCTTGGTTCTGTGAGCTCTGGTAAACCCCAAGATGCTCGATTTTTGAGATCTTGCATCTAAATGAATATGGCTCTAATGAGGGTAACCTCGTGGTGCAATCTAGGAAACGACCTTTTCATAATTTGGAGGTTGATACGAAGGACGCCTCATCTCTTAAAAGACAATTTTCAAAAGAGGAAGAGGAGACTGAAGAGGTGGAGGTAGCCAACCCTGAATGGCCAAAAAAAAAATTAGGATTATGGCTTGGAATGTGAGAGGAATTGAACCTACCCTCACATTCTGTACTGCTATAGAGGGCTCGTTTGCATCGTGGATTTGAAAAATGAAGGTTTTGGTATAACTTGGGTTTTGAAAAACCATGGATATATGAGGGTTTTATGTTCATTATGGATTTAATAAACACCATTGTTTGTTTGATGGATTTCATGATAGATTTTGTTAATTAAATATGTATGTATGAGGTGTAATTTACCTTTATTGTCCTCAATGATATAAGAAGAGAAAGCAAATATGAAGGGTAGGTTGGTAAAAAATGATGGACTTCAAAGTCCATAACCAATTCCCAACTAAATCGGTGGAACTTTTAAGTCTATGGGGTCCACGGATTTGGTCCCTTAAAGTTCATGGGACCCACACATTTGTTTCCCTAAATGCATGAAGCAAACAATAGATTTTGGACAAAATCCATGATGGATCCAAATCCCTCACCAAATCCATCATGCAAACAAGCCCTACTTCATTCTAATAGGCTTAGTATACTTTTCCCTTCGGAAAACAAGATTGAACCGTAGGGTTGTATCTCGTAGGATGCGAGGTTTGGCTTTTTATATTTATCATTGTTTTTTGTTGACGTCGTTGATGCGTCTGGTGGTCTTGTTGTAGGTTAGTCCTCCGGAGTTGATGCTTCGCTGTTTAGTCATTCCACTTGTATTATTGTTGTTCATATGAATAAGAATAATATTTCTTATGTGGTTGTGTGTGTTGATGAGCCATAAGTAGGGTCTCTTTGTGATAACGATGTAATTGCACATGTTTGCGCCCCTAGTTCTTATCCGTTTGAGGGGCATAGTCGTGTGTTGTGGCATATTTTACGCCGGGTTGTGCTATTTTGTCATGTTTCAGGTCCCAGGTGTCAAAGGGAAGGCTAAGCGCGAGTTTCGGGGCATTCGGAAGTCATTTCGGTGAGCTGGAGCCAAAACACGGGCAGCCTAAGGCATTACACGGCCGTGTACTGCTGGCCGTGCTTTTTATGCCGAGAGCAAATTCAGTTTGGCCAATTCAGCTGCAAACACGGGCACCGAAGCACGGCCGTGTACATTGCGAAGCACGGCCGTGTTTAACCCACTTGCTGGCCGTGTAATTAAGCCCTGGCCGAGGCACGGGCGGAGTCAGGCAAAGCACGGCCGTGCCCTGGACCGTGCTTTGGCCACTGATGCTTTTAAGCAGAGTTTCAGCCACAATTCAAGGGGATTCGAGTTTTTGAGAGAGAGATCAGTTCCTAGAGAGAGAAAGTGACGAGCAAGAGTTCCCAAGTGCCCTAGATTGATCTTCAACACCATTGGAGGCCAGCTTGAGCTTGGAGAAGTGCCAATCAACGTCCAGAAGCAGGAATCCATCCTTCGCAGTATGAATTCCGTGTCTGATTCTGCTTTTGCTTTCTTCTCCATGGAGTAGTTCTCCCATTCATCTGGGTATGGAGAACCCTAGATTTGTATGTTAGGCTTTGATTGTATGAACCCAAGTACTGATTCTGTGATTGATTATATTCGATTGAGGTTTTAATGATTGAATGACTTGAATCCTGATCAAATTCCTGTTGTTTCTGCTTTAACCTAGAATGAGAATATCTGCCTAGGTTAATAGAGTATCCTTGATTGAAGGTGGGGAGTTGGTGACTTTAGTCGAGGAGCCAACTCACTATTCTGTACCGGATTTACTCCGGTAGTGGAGGTTTTGTGCTTAGGGCCTCAATCTGTCGACTCCGGTGGAGGTTAGTCGCCCGCTAGAGAGTCAGATTGAGAGGGTCTGAAGACCTTTAGTCGAGACTTCAGGCTGTTTAAGAACCTTCCGCAGTATAACTTTCATAGAAACTAAACTTGGTAATTACAATCCGGCTTAACTGCAGTCTAGGGGGAACCATATCCGGGTGACCTCTTTAACTTGAATACAACCGTTTGTTTGCTTTGTTAGTTTGATAGTTTAGACTTGCACTCCAGTTTCATTGCTAGATAACAAGAATTCACTGAGTAGTCATCAGATCTAGGACCCGGGTTGATAATTAAACCCAAACCCGCTATACTACGCTTTAGGAAGTGGTTACACTTGGCCAATTCCTAGGGTGACAGTAGAGTCGAGTCACTTTGCAACTACCTTCCTACACAAGTAACTCTGCCTAGCAAATAGGCCTTCATATGATCTTCGAGCTTCTGGAAAATGGTCTTCTAGTTTATCAAACTCAACAAATGCCTTCACAAGGTTTAGAAAGTTGCATACTTTCATCTCCAACTCGAATCTCCCTTCGATTGTACCCCAAACTCTTCAAATAAGGAGCCAAGGATGGTAGCTCAAACATAGTTTATGCCTTGGCAATTTTAGGTTGTTTTCCTATTTCTCCATTGCTACTTGAGAGCCTTGAGAAATGACAGTAGGAGCTTGTTTCTAATCAACCAAACCTTCCAACATGTAGGGCAACACTTGGACTTCAACTTCGATCCTTCTTCCTGCATTTTGACTGACATAATTGTAAGCTATAAATATATAAAGTAAGCACCACGAAACTGTTTGGGCACAACAAAATTATGCCTCTTTTCTTGCCATCTTGGTTTAATTCTTTGGCAAACAATTGGAACTTGTAGAATGGCTGAATTGAGATTATATAATGTGTATATTAGCTGTAATGAGGCAATTAAGTATGAGCAACTGATCCAATTGCAGATACTGTGTTACCATTTCATCAGGAAATGAGAAGGATGGTAAGCACCCTTGGAATCTGGCCCGCTCTGTTGCGCTTAGGTATTTTGTGAACGATCTAGGTCTCCATGATTCGGGGTACCCTAGGGATCAATTCACTTGGACCAATAAGCGGATGTGACCGGCCTGTATCAGGAAGCAGCTTGATCGAGCTCTATATTCTCGGTCTTGGATGTGCCATTTCCCGAGCCTTTTTGGTAAAACATCACAAGGACCAAGGGTCCGATCATAGGGCTCTATCTTTTTGGATAAGCCTTTCACACGTCAGAGCCATCCTCTTTCAGATTCGATGCTCAATGGGTTGAGAATTCTGAAGTTACAACAATGGTAGTGTTTGTGTGGAATGAGACTATCAAGGGATCCCTCATGCATAGACTTTGGGTTTGTTTAAAACGACTTCGTCACCTCCTGTGTGAATGGAGTAGGGCTGGCACCACTAATTCCCTACGAACATCAAAACCCTCCTTACTAAGATTAACCAGGTAAAGCATGTGAACCATATTGATTAGGATAAGGTACGTGATCTTGAGCCAGAGCTAAGTCACAAATGGGATGCTAAAGAGATCTATTGGCAACACAAATCCAGGTTCCGATTGCTAAAAATGTGATAGTAATATGTCCTACTTTCACACAGTCACAAGGGCGAGTAGGAAAATAAAGTTTGTGGAAGGTTTCAGAAATGGGGAGGGTGAATGGGTCATTCATGAAAAGGGGAAGGCGTAAATTTCTGTTGATATAAACAAGGCCAATGATAGAGGCGAGTAGCCTTTCTTACTTGCGATTTTAGAAAAAAATGGAATTCAGTACGACTTGGGTACATTGGATTCAGAATTCTTTAAAATCCTCATCGTTCTCTGTCCTTATGAGTGGCACCCCCAGCTAGTTATTTCAAATCAACGTGGGGGCTTTGACAGGGTGATCCATTATCCCCCCTACTCTTTGTCATCTATATGATGAGATTTGCAGCACTCCTTCGATAGACCATTGAGGGACGAAAGATAGCAGGGGTTCCGTTAGCCCCAGAGCTTCGCGTATCTCCCATTTGTTCTTTGTAGATGATTCATATTTATTACTCAGAGGATCGATGCAAGAATGTGAAAATCTGCTTGATGTTTTGAATGAATATGAGGAGCTTAGTGGGAAAAGGTTCAACCTTGCTAAATCCATAGTGTGCTTTAGAAATAATATTTTGCCTGCAGACCAAGAAGCCCTTGCGCTCCGACTTGGCGCATGAGTGGTAGGGGTGCACAGCAAGTATTTGGGACTGTCTACCTTGGTTGCTTAGTCCAAGATGGCTAATTTCCGATATTTGGAAGAGAAGTTGTTGGAATGTTTATAGGGCTGGATACAGAAGGTGCTCTCTTGGGTGGCTAAGGAGACGTTAATTAAATCAATTGTGTTTTCTTTACCACTACATGTTATGTCTAGCTTTAAGCTTCCTCTATCCCTTTTTCGCGTTCTAGATAAACATGAACCCAAATTTTGGTGAGGGTGGAAGGGGGGTCGTCCACGGATTCTTTGGGTTTCCTAAAGGAATTTGTGTAAAAATAAACATGATGGGGATGAGATTTTGTCATTTTGAATATTTTAACCTGGCCCATATTTATAAAGGGAAGTACTCCACAACGTGTTTGTATCTTATAGCGAATGCGCGGTCTCACCCATTGTGGGGATGGTAGAGTATTCTCCATGGCCGCCTCCTTCTCCAAATAGGGTTGAGGTGGCACATTGGGAATGGGCTCAAGCCTCTATCCAACATTATAATTAGGTCCCGTATACACACCCTCCACCTCATCATTGTAATCCTCTTGCTATTCCGTAGGGTAGCGACACTATGGTGGCAGATCTTATGGTTCCGGGGGGGGGGGGGGGAGATGCTGTCAACAATCTTTTTTGTAGA